ATTATCCTTATCCTTATCCTAATCTTCGCCAATCTCTGGACTGAATTCTACCGTGCTAGACGGAAGAAACACAAGCAGAATTAGGAATTATTTTATCAAACATTCTTAGTGATGATTGCAATAACAAAGAAAATACTAGAATTAATGATATCGATAAAAAGAATAAGATTAACAAGAATGAAATAGTGAGAGTAATGATAATGATAATAGAAATAATAACAGTAATGATAACACAGACAATAATATTAATTATAACACAGGCAATAATAGGAATGATGATAATGCTAATGATAATAATGATAACGATAACAATGATAAGAAAGAGAGATGGAGCAAACATAGGATGAACAAGAGAGAGAAGACGCGGATGACACCGCCTCCTAAAGCCAAGCCCGAAAGTCCTAAAGATAAGACCCTATGAAAACTTCCTCACCCCCCCCCCTCTTCTCCTCACCCCCGCTGGCTACCCCCCCCCCCAGCCCCCTACCCCTACCCCATTCTCTGGCGTTTTTTTTTTTTATTTTTTTTTTTTTTTTTTTTTTTTTGCCTTTCTTCTAGACGTCGGTTTTATCCAGTTATCAACTGATGATTCTTTGTTTATTCTTATGTTTATTTTCCATGTGCTTTCAGTGGCTATTTCTATCATTCTACCTATTGCAAGGCCCTCTCGTGGACAAATAAAATAATAAATAAATAAATAAAAACGAAATGAACTTGGCCTTAGTCGACATTCCTTTTTTTACGACATTCATTGTAATTCTCACAATGTTTCAGTTTTACCAGTTTCTCTTTCTTTTTTTTTTCTGCCATTCGCAAAATTGTATTAGCCCCTATACATGTAGCATACGATTTTGCATTCGAGATTCCATCCGTCGTGGAGGTCGTGTTCCAATTATAGATTACTTTTGCTTTTACTTTCACAAGTCTGGCATTCTTTTCCTACTCGGTCACATACATACGTCTGTGCATATAGATATATACGAATATTTACGCGATTCCGAACGCACTCACACACGCAGATACACAGCTGACATGCAACCAATACATTGCTGTTATTATCATAAACATTATAATTATTACTATTATTATTATCATTATATCCATTTCTATTATTTTCTTTATCATTACTATTGCCATTGTTTTGTTCTCAATATTATTACTACTATTATTATAATTGTTATTATCATTATCATCACAGTCATCATTACTCTTATTGTAATTATTGTTATTATCATTACTATCATAATTATTATTATTACCATTATCATATCATTATTATTGTTACTTTTGTTGTTACGTTTGCTATCTTCATCCTCATTATCATTATTATCATTACTATTCATTAGTTATTCATTAAACTGTATCATTATTATCATTACTGTCTTCATTAATATCATTATTATCATTACTGTTTCATTAACATTGTTATCATTAATCATACCATGTTATCATTATTATCATTACTGTCTTCATTAAACTGTTATCATATTATCATTACTGTCTTCATTAACACTGTTATCAATTATTATCATTACTGTTTCATTAACTCATTATCATTATCATTATTATCATTACTGTCTTCATTAACACTGTTATCATTATTATCATTACTGTTTTCATTAATATTGTTTTCATTATTATTATTCAGACAATCACAGGAAGAGAACTCAGGAAGACAGCGACTGACTCGTCATGGGGTAGATCCAGAAGAGGAAATTCCCCGTGTTTTTGTTATTTGTGCTGAGGGGGGTGGGGGTCTGGCTGGGGGGGAGGCTGGGTCTGGGAAGGGGGGGGGGTGGAGGGGTTAGGATTATATGTGCTCGGGGGGGGGGGGTCTGGGTTTCGGAAGGGTGGTGGGGGTTGAGGGATTAGGAGGTAGAGGAGGAGTAGAGGGAGGGGAGATGGGGAGTGGAGAAGGAGTAGAGGAGAGGAGAATGGGAGATGGAGGAAGAGGAGGAGGAGGAATGGGGAATGGAGGAGGAGGAAGGAAGAGAGGGAGTAGGAGATGGAGGAGGAGGAGGAGGGAGGAAATAGGGAGTGGAGAAGGAAGAGGAGGAGGAGGAAGGGGGAGATGGAGGAAGAGGAGGAGGGAAGGAGGATAGGGAGTGGAGAGGAGGAAAAGTAGGGGGAGAAGGAAGAGGAGGATGGAAAGAGGATACGGGAGCGGGGAGAAGGAGAAGAGGAGGATGAGGAAGAAGAAGAAAAACCAAAAGAGGAAAAGAACAACAAAAAAAAAAGAAGGAAGAAGGGAAGAAATAGGAAGGATGAGAAGGAGGAGGATTAAGAGCAGGAGGCGGAGGCGGTTTGGGGGTTAGACGTCAACCCTTTTTTTTCTCGCCTTTTTTCGTCCTTCGTCTTTAACCTGAATTTCAGCTTCCAGGCCCCAAGGGCGTGATGTCCGCGTGGCTCTTCCTGGGCATGGATATCTCACGTGCACAGACGTCACTCAAGACTATCATGAATACTGTCTTCGCTTAATTAATTTACATGATTTGTCGCG